AACCATATTGGACAGGTCATGCGTCATGGAGGAGTGGGAGTTCTGTCCATGGAAAATGGCTGACGACGCAGTAGTATATAATCCCAAAATCTCCATTGACTCGTGATAAACAATAAACCCGCAGGGCAACACAAGCCAACTGCCCCTGACCTCATCTCCACAGCACCCCCAGTGCCCCAAAAATCCCCAAAACAACGATGATAAACCCCAGTGCAACGTTGAAAATTTCCAACGCGAGTGATTAATCCCCAGACTTCCGTCGTTCCGTCTGTCAAGACAGGCACGAACGAGTCTCAACCCGTTCTGACATGTCGTGTCACGAGTATCTCTGATGAATTATTATTGACACAAGTGCAATTCTCTCGTGACCTTTAAAACCCATGAAAAAATCACTCATTATTCCCCAAAAAATGGCGATTACATGTGAGTCTTATTTTAATAGTAAATAAAAACATCGTCACGCCTCGGCTATTTTCCGTGACCGTAAAGTCTATGCAACACGATAACTTTCACTTCTCCCTCGGATTTAATCATCAACAATCAATCAGGGGAACGTCGGTGGGATAGCCTGTGAATTGTTCCATTCAGCAGTGTTTCTTATTTCCCTTCGTGAAAAGAGACATTTTAGTAAAGACATTTCAGCGTGACTCATCTCCCCCGCCCCAACGATAAAAAAAAAAAAAAAAGTTGGTCTCACTTGTTTTGTTAAATCTCGTACACATCTGTTTGTCCTCGTCTTCAACACTCGATTGCCTGGTTAAGAAGGCATGTTAACGGGGCTAACAAGTGCATCAGTAGGTAGTAGACGAAACGAGAGGTTGAATTGGTAGTGTGTTTCACTGGCAGTGGTATCAATGTTCAATGAGGGGAATTATTAAAATGATGAGAAAGAGACATTAGGGGAATTGATCAGTTGTGATAACTCACTCCAGTATTTGGAGGCGAATGGTAGAGAGAATTGTGATGTGAGTGGTAAAATGCGTGTGAGGTTGTTTAATTATGGGACAGCATTTAGCTAGCTTTCGAGAATTCTTCAGAATGAGTGGAAAACAAACGGAAGCGTTCAATAACGATTGTAACAGTCCTAATATCAACGAGATGGGAAATAATGATGTTGATAATCGTGATAATAATGAGAGTAATGGTAATCAAAATGGACATGATACATTGGCGACCGAGGATAATAAGCAGAATCGAAATATTGACAACGAACAGTTGAATATATCATTGGATAATCATAATGCTAGGTTTGAAACTATTTATAGTCAGCCCATTGAGTCGCAGGAGCAAGTCAAGATTTGTAGTAATGGAAATTTTGGAGGTGCCAATGAGGTGGATGTGAAGCAACAGGAGCCTGGCTGCAGCAGCTCGGGGGGAAGTAATAGTAGTAGTAGTAGTAGTGCTGAGGATAGTCCTGGTAATCCGGTATTGAGAAGAACTTCGAAGACACTTTCGTTTGGAAAGAGAAAAAGTGAGTTGACATTTTTGTTTTCTTGATTGAACCTGGTGAAGAGTAATGAGACTTTTTATGTTGATTTTCATTTTAACCATGTTTAAAGGAAAATGGGGACAGTTATTTTATGATTAAAAAATCATTCAATGAGGATTTAGATTTAGTTTTTGTTAAATATATTGTGAACTTTGAGAGAGATGGAGAAAATTTTCGTAGACTGTTGGAAAAAAAATCAAATTTCACTGACAATTTAGTAGTAATTTCGGGGAAAGTGACACTGAATTCCATATTCCATATCTCTGCGATTTCATAATTACAAAATAATCTGTCAAAAGATTGATTCATTTTTCATTGAATATGCAAGAATTCAAAGGAGACAAAAATTTCCCTATCTTCCTTTACTGCTCAGATATCTAGCAAAACCATTATTTTACGCTAGTGTGTAACCAAATTAGTTAACTAATTGTTGAAATCTAAAATTCTACGCGACAGATTTTATTCGAATATTATTTCCATATGAACTTTGGTTGTTTTGGTTTTTTAACTTGTATTAAATTGCTATGAAAATATATTTTATAATTCTTATATTATTATTACTTTTAATAAAATTGTGAATAATTTTCAAACTTTAAACCTAAATAATTTTCCACTGCATCACATCCACATTCCCGGCTTTCTATTATTCCTATTCTGTACAAGGAACAGGGATTCATTTAGATGAAAGTGATTTGCACGATCCCTCTTCACCCAGACTACTCCATTCATTCATCATATCCCTGAATTATTATTCCAGGTAAACAACGTGATAAAGATCAAAATCCAGTGTGCAATCATGCGTTATCATCCAAGAAGAAACGAACAAATTGGGTCCTAAAATTCAATTGCGCGAAGAATAAAGGATCGAAAAATACTGATATACCGGAGCAATCGAATAACAGCTCGGAGTGTGTTTGTACGGGTTATAGAAGAACTGAGGAGCATCCCATGGGTGCTGGTGTTGTTTTTAACAACAGATCAGCACCACAGAGCCCTGAATTGGGACCACTACCACCTAGTCCTGTTATCGATTTATCGAGGTTCAATCCTGCTGAATTTCCGATGGAAGTGAGTGCCACTTGAAAAATCATAATTCCACTTTCTAGATAATGATATTGAAAAGTCGATAATTACCAGTCAGCTATCAGCGATCATCGTAATCATCCACTGACGTTTCTATTTCCATTCTTACTTTTTTCCTTTCCATTCTTAAAATTATACGCCTGCAGGAGATATCGAAATGTTTTTCAACTGAAAGTATGAAGCATAACTGGACTGGACTGGACTCGACTGAACTTGACAATATTTTAAGCCTGTATTCCATTATTAACAACAATAACGAAACTCATTTATTTTAAAAAATGCAAACGTCCACGTGTTTAATTTTTTTAATGCAAAAAAAAATTATTGTCAAAATTGTTGTCAAATTTCACACTGGACGATAAATTTGACCCTCAATATCTTCGGAAATAATTAGAATAGAGAAAAAATAAGCACAACAGGAAGTATTTTCATTTGAACTATTTTTTCCTACCTTGAATAATTTCCGAGAAATTTTGATTTCAATAAATGAATTGTAATTAATTTTTTACATCGGTTATCGGCAGACGGATCTTGAAAATAGATGCTAAATCCTAAATGATTCTTGCAGGACTGCGACGAGAGAGCGAGACAGCAGAGAGCCAGGGAAATGGAGGAGGGGGTGGAACCACCACCTGGTTATCGGCCTAATTATTCATCAGCTATTCAGGTGCATCCCAATGGCATCACTGTTGATAGCCTAGCTGCGTTGTTTCAGGCACATGCTGGTATTCAAGCTGCTGCACTCACTGCATTATCACAGATCGATTTCACTCTAGTTCCAAACATCGAAAGACCGGCCCATACTCAGGCAAGTATTTTTACTTGAATTCATAAGTAAGAAAGCAAAATCTACAATTATTAAAGGGTCATGACTGCTGGTGACGAAAAGATTTTTCAGGGTTGTTTTGATGGAATTGACTATTGCTAGAATGAATAAATTAGTAATTGCAACTCAGTAATCAGTTTTTTAACAGAATCAGTTATGAATTTGTTCGGGTTTGGTTAGGGTTTAAAGACTGATAAAATGTATTAGATTGAATAAAGATTGCCCGAGGAGGTGATTGAAATGAAATTTCGAATTAAAGTTGAATTTTCTTTTGATATTATGATGACCGCATAGTGGCCCCAAGAAGTTGTTTTTTATTGTTAAAATGTACGATTCTATTTGTATATTTTTGTACATCTCAATCTGCTGTGCAATGAAAAAAAGTATTGTAAAAATGTACTCAACTCCTTTTGATTTTTTGAAATTTGTATATGTTTTACCTCGTAATAGGAGAAGATATAAAAAGCCATTCTTTGTAGAAATTTTTTTTTAGATGAAAAATCATCTGTACAATGATTTTTCTATCGTCTTTTCGTGAAAAATTACTCATCAAACTATTTGAAAGTTTAAAAAATCTAAAAAACTATTTTCACATTCTGTTAATTTCGAAATCATCGTGATAACGGATAAATCTAGAAGAAAGTATCAGAATATATGGGAAAAGTTTTCTACGAAAGACATTTGTTTCTGGAGATTTCTTCACCAAATGCACAAATACCTAGAATTGTAGCATTCACTCATCTCGATTCACCACTTCATCATTAGATTATTAATGAATTGCGAAACTATGGATTTACGTCATTCAAAGATCATTAGTCTGCAACAACAAACATGGAGGAAGTGAAAGAAGGCTTGTCAGGATGATGCAACCTACCTCTCTCTTCCATAAATCTCACAATTCAATCATTATTTCCATTGATGTATTCATGAGAGACGTCATCTGCTCTATCCGCATATTTTTTCGTTATCAATTAAATTTCAATTACACAACTATCATCCATAAAGCTTGATTAATGCACGTCATCACAATTTTAAAAACTCAACATGGAAGAAATTTTCCTTTTCCGATTGAATTAATCAATTAATTAATTGTTCATTCGAGGTAGATTATGATAAAGTACACTGCTTTTTAAATGAATAAATAAATTGCTTCAGTTTAATTTTAATTTAGTCGGCGTCTATTACATGTTTAACCAGGGCATATGGAGCTCATATTAGACATTTGGGATACTTAGGGATCATATTAAGGTTTCATGGTTGGTATATCTTGTTCCCCAATTTACCATTCAGAAGCAAATTTCTAATTAACTAGCAAAAAAGTTATACTGTTCTCAAGTCCAGTTTAAGAAAAACTATTCAGGAGAAACATAAAATTTAAATAATTAACTTACGACTGAGGAGACCTCAACATTGATGTAGCATTGTAGGAGCATGAACTTTTGTGATATCAAATTGTACTATCTAATTTAAAATCATTTCAGTTCACTAAAAAAAAATTTCTTAAATTGTCTTTAAAAAAAACTATTGAATTTTCCTGAGGTTAAACTTGAGGAAGGAATCCTACTAATTTGAAATTAATGACAGACAACTGAATATGCACTTTTTTGTTTTTATTCGATTAATTAATCCATTCGGAAACTTGTTTAATATTAACCCCATGAAATAATTAATAATTCCAGGTCGATTACGTACACTGCCTAGTGCCAGATTTGCGTTCAATAACGGCCTGTTCGTTTTACTGGGGTAAAATGGATCGTTACGAAGCAGAACGTCTTCTAGACGGTAAACAAGAGGGCACATTTCTCCTTAGAGACTCAGCCCAAGAGGAATTTCTCTTCTCCGTGAGCTTTCGCAAATACGGAAGATCCCTTCATGCGAGAATTGAACAGTGGAATCACAAATTCAGCTTTGACTCACACGACCCCGGTGTTTACGCCTCTGAAACGGTAATTCAGTCTCAATTTCAGATTAAAATTAATGATTATGGGTTTATCGGGCATTGTGTACTTTCCGTTTTGTCTTCGTCACAGGTCTGTGGCCTGATTGAACATTACAAGGATCCATCTTGCTGCATGTTCTTTGAGCCAATGTTGACAATTCCACTGCATCGGAATTTTGCATTTCCACTTCAGCATCTCTGTCGTGCTGTCATTACAACGAGAACAACTTACGACGGCATAAACAAGTTACAGCTGCCAAAGACACTTAAAAGTTATCTCAAAGAGTATCATTACAAGCAGAGGGTACGTGTGAGACGATTGGACAGTGAGAATGATATTATGATGGACAGTAGATCCATTTCTTATCTACCGGTGATTTGAATAGCATTATGTTTTCATTGTGCGTCGATTATTTTATTATTGTGAATATTGATTTTAGAGAGGAAGTGAGAAAATGGCAATTGAATTGATCATTTCTAATGACAAATTTTTTTCGGCCGAGAACATTTGAAATAACTAATTTCCAAGTTTTCAACTCAAAGCACTCGTTATTGTGAGGATTTGGGATTGGAGAAGGGGTTGGAATTGTTTTTGAGATCTTGTTTGTTGGGAAAATTTTGATATGTCTCTTAAATTCAGAAATATTCGGGAAAAACTTGTTTTTTTTTCTACAGTGAAATTGAATCATCGTGTTTTTAAAACATACAAATATTTCAAATATTTCATAATCTAAGAGAGAGATTCGACATTTTCTTCAAAAATCAAAATCGAAAAATCGAAAACTTGTTTCAAATTATATTTTATTTTATTCTTTTCGTGAATAATTGTGAATTTTTAAAAATGTCAAAAGCATTTTCGATTTAAATATTATTCTTGAAAACAGTTTTTCTCACTTCCCCACTAAATTTGAGGATGGATTCATCATAAAAAAATCATATTGTCATCATCCTCGTGTTTTTTATTATCGATATAACATCGAAGAGAGCATTGTTTTGTTTGAAGAGTTGATAATCAGGAATTTGTAAAAGTTTATTTGCATTCTAGAATGGATGACAGCTTTTAGAGGATAATAATTCACAGTCTCCAAACAGTATTGGAAGGTAGTAAAGGGTATCCATATGTTAATCACAATTTTTGCAGTTAATTAATGATTTATGTGTATCGATAGAAGGTGAATTTATTACTCAACAAGCAAGGAAAGCTTTACTCCATAACGTGATTTATTACTTTCAACATCGTGCTCATGATTAATAATTATTTAATGCATTAAAATGTGAAAATAACTCTTCCCAAGGATCGCGTCATTCACGTGACACATTTATTACTAATCCTATCGTGCCTACTTCTATTATCAATAATCATGTATGATGTGTATTTACTATTAATTAATTAATTAATTAATTGATTAATTGATTGATTGATTAATTCATTTGTTGAAAAGTGGTGAGTGATTTTTTCATTCAGTTAAATTAATTTTCATGAAATTATTAATCTATTGATGATGGCTGAAATTCAGCTGATGATTCGGTGATTAAAATTTCATCCAAAACTAGTGGAAAAACCAACTAATGTGAATCAAATGAGAGTTTTTATTTTTATCGATAAAAATTATTATTAAAGTAAAAAATGAATTAGGTGAATTTAAGAAATAGCCTAAGGATGGAAAATTGGCAGCTAATTAGAGGTTAATAACCGAGGGAAACAAGTGAAAAAGAATGAATTGTTGAGCGACAAATTATTGGTTTAATAATTCTGTCTTCTGTCTGTCGTTGATTATTTCAAATGATTACGATTCTTCACATGGATGAAGAATTGATATTTATTGACCATATATTCATGATGACACTCGGACCAAGGCTTCTTTCTACTTGTGTTGTATCGATTATGTGAGACACTTGTCTCGATAATAATGAGTGAAACAAATAGACACAAATTTCAAGTTCAACTAATGATGGAGAAAAATCGAAAAAAGCGTAGAATATTCCGAGACTAATGAGCAAAATGGTGAATTGTATAAAAAACGACGAAGTTGATTATTCTATCCCTGTTGAAGAGAGAAAAAAAATTGTTGACAATGTCGGTATTAAAATCACCGCCCAAAACTTACAATTAAACAAAAAAGACTGAGAAAAGAAATAATTGATTATTGCCAAAATATCTGTATTTAGCCTGATTTTCGATATAACAAATTGATAAGAATAGAGATTAATTAATTGTCACAGTTTTATCATTCAAGCAATATAGTTATGGATATGTAAATAATGTAGGTTGGTTTATTCTATTGTAAGCTCTGCCCCGCCCGTGTGCACAGGTAGTTTGAGTAATCCATGTTAACAATTGTAATTATTATTGGCGAATAAATAAACTTGTGGTAGTAGGTAATAGTACGTTGTAGTTGAATAAAAAGAGGAGTCCAAACATCACGAGGAAGAAGATATCTTTCAAGTTTTTATTGAGGAAAATACTTTTGTTTTAGTGATGAAATTATGAAACAGGATGAGTCAATGAAATTACAGAAACGAGTAAATTTTTCACGGAGAATGAATGAAAAGAATGAAAAGCGAAAGTTTTGTAGAACACAGTAAGATTTATTCAAAGGTGCTCATAAAAATCTGTTGAATGACTTGTTTTGACGAGTACAAACTTTTGATGAGCATCGAAAAATAAAAAGTTAAATTCTCTCGCTCTGTTATCGTAATAAGTTTTGAAATTTTTTGTACAAAGAATATTGTTTGTCATTAGGCCGAAAAAAACTTTTCTGGCGAATATGAGTTTGCTGCAATCATATGACATACTATTTCCCTCAGAAAATTAATTTCAGGGCACAGGTTTCTATGATCGAAATGTGATTTGATTTCTCAATGAAAACAATTGAAATACAATTTTTCAAAGGGAAAAGATATTTTAGCCTGACTATATCGAATAAATTGACAATCTTTACACGTTAGAAAAAAAAAACACAATAAACATATTCAGACACTTGGATTTTTCCAACAGTTCAATCAGAGGACATTCACAATTTGATAAAAGTCATTTTGCTTCCTCTTTCTCATCTTATTCATCAGAATCGTTCTCCTGGTTTTTTTTCATCAAAGGATACTCATAAAATACCTCTCCCACTTGGCAACCATGTACAACTCGGTCACAATTGTGTACCTGAAGTACCAGTAGGCGAAAAATGAAAAAATACTGTTGATTCCACCCATTGCCTCGTTGAATTCTCCTTTTAACTGAATTTTTTTCTTCTTTTTCTTATTTTCGTTGTCACTCGATGTTAGTTTTAGGTTATACCAAGGCCTATGCACAACGTGAAATCAACAGACAACGACGTTAAATGCTGTTCCCACCCCCCCGGCAGCTAATACCGCACACACCATTATCAACAGAACCAGTGGTGGGAGTGGTACCTTTTCCCAGTCAACTATCACATTTTGAAGCTTTGTCTGTTACCGACTGTGCAAATTTTGTTATAAAGCTTCGGAGTTGGCCGCAAAACGCGAGAGAGGGAGAGAGAGAGAGAGAGAGAGGCAAAGAGGATAGACTAAAGTAGAGGCTCAGATCTCGGGGTTTCGGTGACCACAAGTCGGAATTAGTACGACCCCAACGGAGGGATGGCGCCACGGTCGAATCTGACGGCTGGGCGTGCAGAGATCCGAACAATTAGCCCCTCATGTATAGATATTCCAAATTTTTATTTTTTTCCTCATTGAAGTAGTTTTCAAGGAAATTGCGAGCTAATAAAAAACATTTGCTAGTTAGTACTTTTTTAAAATAAATTTTTGAAAAATCACCTCTGAAAAAAAAGGCGTTATCCCCTCTATTTCATTATTTCCAAAAAAATTTATCACCAATCGATAGCAAATTGTTTGAAGAATTTTGCGAGTTAAGAAAAAATCGTCAATGCAATCCTATTATTGTGTAAATTACCAATTCCAATTTCAACTAAAAACCAGAGTTGATGACCAGAGTTTGTAACAGAGATGTCAGACAAGATATGAATGTTTTTTTGTGCTCAAATGAAAGAGCGGGTCGAGAAATGGCGTGCTAGGGTCTCTAAAGATGGTTTTGAACCAGAGGAGACTCCTAGACCCCACTGGACAATGTTGTCACAATTGCGCTTTTCAATTGGAAACAGACATCATCTTTAGAGACATTTGTCTTGTTTAGAGGCCTTAGTACGCCATTTCTTGACCCGCTCTGTCATTTGAGCCAACAAAAACATTCATATCTTGTCTGACATCTCTGCTACAAATTCTGGTCATCAACTCTGGTTTTCAGTTGAAATTGGAATTGTTTATTTACACAATAATAGGAGTGCATTGACGATTGTTTCTTAACTCGCAAAAATCTTCAAACAATTTGCTACCGATTGGTAATAAAAATTTTTGGAAATAATGAAATAGGGGGGATATAACGCCTTTTTTTTTCAGGAATGATTTTTCAAAAATTTATTTTAAAAAAAGTACTAACTAGCAAATATTTTTTATTAGCTCCCAATTTTCTTCAAAACTACTTCAATGAGGAAAAAAATAAAAATTCGGAATATCTATACATAAGGGAGTTCGCCCAGCCGTCAGATTCGACCGTGGCGCCATCCCTCCGTTGGGGTCGTACTATTTTTAGCTTGGGGTCACCGAAACCCCGAGATCTGAGCCTCTACTTTAGTCTATCCTCTTTGGAGAGAGGCTAAAAATTCCACAAAAATTTAGTAACCGCGCAGCATCAGCAAGGCAATAAGGCATCAGCCAATCAGTTTGTGGATGTTTTGACGAGAGTCTCACGTTGGTAAAAAAATGTTGAATGATGATAAAGATTCAAAGAAACCCAAGCAAAATAGTGCTCGACCTTCTCGTATGATATTTGAGAAAAAGAATGAACGGTTGAAGGATCAGACAAGATGTGCCGGGGTCAGAGCGGATTTGAAGATTTGCCTGTTGGAGAGTGATTGCTGCAGAATAGTTGAGTAGATGTTGAGTGTTGTTTTTATGGAATTATTAATTATATATAATGGGAGGTGTCTTTGCAGTATAAAAAAACACCGAAAGAGTGCATCAGGATGACGGATGGGTCTGTTCCGGAGGATTGTCAAGCCCTAAAATACGTTCTCTATGAGTGCAAAAGATCGTTGGTAAGTTTATAATTATAAAAAATAATTTGTCTGAGGCTTGTTTTTACATCGCCTTTGAGGATATTCAATTGTTTAAATTTCAAAAAACTTGATTTTTTTTTCTTCTAAAATTGAGGGAATTATGAGCACAGGCAAATTTTTTGGTGATTTCCGATGGAATGATATTTAGGGTAGATAGAACATTTGCTTATACCAGTTATTTATGAACAGGTTTATAATATTTTTGAATTTCAACTTTTCAATTATTTTAGGAATTTCCGTAAAACTATTTAAAACGTTTCTACGCAACGTTTACATTGCGAAATATATTTGGATATCCTTAAAGAATCTTAGTAATTAATAATTTTCTATAAACAAGAGATTTTTCTCTTTTATTATCCCATAGGTCGATGGCAGAAAGAGATTTCGTGGGCCTGTAGGTTACTAGGAAGAAAATACATAAATAAATAAATAAATAAATAAATATCTATTTAATTTGATGTTGCATACTTAATTGTAAATAAAAAAAAGGAATAAATAATGAAAGAAAACCACATGGTAAAATGTGAATTTTATTGCATCATCCTCTTTATTTATATTACACTCATTGAATTCTCCATAAAAGCCATAGAATTTAAAGAGAAAATTTTGATATTTATCGATGAATCATACATCTTCATTTCTGAACATCTCTCAATCGACAAAATAAACTCAAAATCAATTTATCAATGACAATGCGTTTGTTTCACAAATGTATATGTTACGAACGTACAATCACAGTTTGTCTGTTGAATATTTTATTTTAATCATTTATTATATAATACCGTGGGTATCAAATCAAGTTGATACACCACTTTTGAATCACAGAAAAATTTCCAAGGCTCTTGAGATTATAAGTTTCTTTCAGGGCTCTTGTTCAATGGTCAATGTCAATGTGTATACAATGCAATGTCATAATTTCATCATTTGTCTGTGCAGCTTTCCCCTTCCTATTCTTTCGTTATTATATGAGCGATAAAAATTTTCATATATCTCCAATTTTGTTTTTAGTTATTTGAGAGAAGATATTGCGCCGGCGCAATCATCTATTGTCTTATTGCAACAAGCTTAATTAAATCTTAATTATTTAAAACTCTTGTTTCTCCTTGGTTTTGTACTAAAAATGTCAAATTATTCTACAATAACTTGTCGATAAATTTAATTTATACCTCTGATTTTAGAATTCTTACCTATCGTATACCCTACAAATCACTGATAAAATTCTCCTAAATAACCATGAACAGTGATGGACACTATTAAGTACATTAGTACTTTAGTATGCCTGTTCTTAGGAATTAATCAATCCTTCATCAAGTAACAAGTAGAGATAATATATAATAAAATTAATAAGCGAGGACTATACCGGAAAAGCGGTATGAGAATTTTCAAGAATTTTCTAGGAAAACCGGTAATTTCCAGAAAAGTGGAAAAATCTCCCTAAATTCCTGGAACATTCTCTTTTATATATTACTTAGTACTATAATTTATATAGTCTTAGTCTTAGCCCTCATTGCATATAGCTAATCCAAGATGGATTAATTCCTAAGTACATATCGACTTTGTACTTAATCATTTCGTAGGTATTGATTAGTTGTGTACGTAAGGGATATTGATCCAAAATCGTAAGTAAGTGGAAAAAAAAAAATTTCATTTCTTCTCAACTGATAAACAGAGTGATCTCCTTCATATTTATAGAAATTTCAATCCTCCAATCCGAATTGATAATACAGCAATAAGATGGACAAGACAAAGACAATATGAACATGAGTTGGGACATGAGTTTAAATATCACATATCTCGATTATTTGCCCGGCTACGTCGGGTTTTCCCTTGGCCATTGAATTTAGCATATTTTCTCTTAATGTTTAGAGTCCTCCATTTTGGAATTTTCATTTTGTCAAAGCTACAGCAACGAATTGTCCTTAATTATCAAAAATGTTACCTTTCAGGAACATGGAAAATTTTGTATTTTCGGAAAATGGATAAACATTCTTTAGTATTTAGCATTTAGTGAATCGGAATTTGCCCATCACTGGTCACGAAAGTATTGAAATTTCACTTTTCGGCATCGAATCTACGAATAGCACTCATTACTCCTCTGAACATAAGCTTTCAAACGGGCAGAAGAATCATTCTATGTGCGCAATTTCTACATTCGATCGTTCAACGGCAGATTAATTATTCTAATCGATGATTTCTTGGAAAAAAAAAAAACGAACATGTCCTTAAAGAATATTTTTTCCTCCGCGTGATATCCATGAATTTTCGATTGTATCACAGCTCATCAAACACATGATATGTTACTCCTATTAAATAGCATTTATTAAAAATTTACGTTAAAACGCGACGTTTTCATTGCATAATTGTCATGGACAATTTTTTCATCTCGAGTACAAATATAAAACAGCGCTATATAGCGAAAGAGATTTTAAAAATATGTTTGTTTTATCATCTCGTCAACTCATCGATTCAATCAATCAATCAATCAACTCCACGAGAATTAATCGAATAGTTGGTCGAAAAGTCAAAAGCATACTGATGGTCGGTAGAGCCCGGTGTATCCACAGAGTCGTGCACGGAGTGCTGGCAATAGAATCGCCGCAGCGGATAGATTATCCTGCAGCTGTGAACACTCGCAAATGAGAAGATACATTTTATCCCCTTGGGACATGGATTTGTGCAGAGTTATGCGTTTCAGACCGACGGATTTCGGGAGGTAGCGATAGATCATTCGAGCCCCTACTCGACATAGAGAAAAAACTGCTAAATACCTCAAAATAAGTCAAAATAACAGTGAAACACAAGTGATAATGGATTAATATTCACTAATAAGAGAAATTATTTTACGTGAAAATGGTCTTGTACTACAATAAGTCTGGACATTTTAAAGATTTTACAAACACAGACGAAGAGATTTTATATTATTTATACCTGTCCAATACAGCCAATTCTGTTCGAACTTGAGGCCATCGTCTCCCTCGAAGACTTTGAAAATTGATACGATGTAACCGGTGGACGGAATTGGTGGCCTACCACCGGGTGGCTCGAGGGGTGGCCGTGCTATCGTCGCCACCTCATTGAAAAGGTCTAGTGTGTGGCTGGCTGCATAGCGCAGGTCACGGGGATCAAACTTCCTCAATGCTGCACACTGAACTTCTTGGTAGAAGTCCGCTGGATCCGTACTGTGCTTGTTTATCAAGTAATAAGTTATAAATGGAAATTCCGCTGGAAAAATTGAAAAGACGTTTTGACATTTTTTTTTTGTTTATGAAAAAGAAAATACTTCTAGACTAGTTTGATCTGATAGTAAATGGATTCTGGAGATTGGATATAAAAAAAAAACATTAAGAATCCATTAAGATATTAGTAATTTTATGAATTTTCTCATTATTTCATGAGAAATTCAAATGAAACTTGAAATTGGAAATGGGGGAAATTAAAAGGAATATATTTTTGATTTTTGAATACACTGAAAATTGAATACATTCATTCATTCTGCTGATGATTCGTTGGGTAAAAAAAGCACATCTTGTATAGTCAAATCTTGTATCAGTACTTGTATCACTCGTCATCTCGAAAATGCCTACCATTCCTCTCCATATTCGTCAACAATATACTCTGCGAAGCCGAGGGTGCAATTTCGGCAATCAATTCAGCAGCTGTATCTCTCTGCAGAACCAATGGCCTAGCCAGTGGTGACTCGACAATTGGATCCAGAGGCTCGAGTGGTGTCATAAAATGTGCCAATACACATTGTTTAGGGTCCTCCACCTCTAGCACAGAGAGAGGACTGCCTGCGCGTTTCTTATCCGCAATTGGCGCATGCTTAAAGAATAAGAATAACCCTTCACTTCACTTCACTTCACCACACACACACACACACACACACACACACTGAGAGAAAAATGAACTGAAATGAAATGAAAAGCTAATTTCCCTTGTTTCGTTATGGGAGTATTGAATAAAAAACAAGTAATTGTTGGAAAATTGAATGAGTTGATAGCATTGAAAAACAAGTGAAAAGTGTTCATTTTTGTGAGCCCACTTTGCCCTATCCCTGTACGTATGTATAATGTTGTTTTGAAAATTATTGTCACTTGACTCACCGGCACACCAGCTGGAAGGAAACGCTCGAGGGAGGCGAGGGGAATGATAAAACAATCACGATCCAGGGTCGCGAGGGATATTGGCTCACCCCGAGGTGGACTGCTTCCTGATACAACGAGTGGCGTGTAGATTCCTGCTGTTCTATTCCCACTGAATGACACCTGTAATGCAAATTCACCTATTTATGATATCGTGCAATGTTTTCACGTGTGTGGCGGGGAATAAACGTCAAATGGCTGGCTGGCGTCTATTCAAGTTTATTCAGGGTTAACCAGGGCCGAATGAGATCTCTTTTCCATTGAATAGATCAATATTATGCCTGATTTCCCCAGGGGTTGCTGCAATTTTCAATCCAATGTGGGATAGCTGCAGTGTTGGTACGAAATAAATTTCATTATTTCCATTTAATGCACAACTGTTTCAACTTTCAATTTTTTTTTTACTCATCAAATTACGTAAAAATCACAATTAACAATTGACTGAGTTAATCGGTTTCAATGAATTTTCCACTAGTTAAATAATTGACAGACCAGAGGAGTGATGAAAATGTTTGCATTATATCGGTTGGTCTGATCGAGCTTCAGCAAATCGTTTGAAATGAAATATTAAAAACCACATGGAGTCGTTACATACCTAGCGTGTAATCGGCTGTTTTTGTTGTTAATCGATAGAATGCACGAGTACGATATGACCTTACGCGAAAACTACGTCCTCGGCCTTAATGTCACTGTCAGCGTGGATAACAGGGAAATTCTTTGGCCACCAACATCACGATAACAGCTACCATACGGAATATTTCCTCGTGTTTATGTATCTGTTGAGTTTTTGCCTACTCGACAACAACTGTTGTATAGATTTAAATTCTAATGTTTCGAAACGGGAAGTAGAGAATAGCTTCCGGCATGCGAAAACTTGCGGCCACTCGATAAATATTGTGGGGTAGTTCTCGCTGAACGATGAACTGGACTAAGAAATGAGAAATATGTACACTATACACTGGCAAGTGGTATACATATCTCCATTCATTTCCCTATTCTACACTGGGTAAAAAAAAGAAGAAAAAAACGTAGGTTTGAAAAACACCGAATTTTCAATAATCAAATAGGAATCATTATCAAATAGGGAAAAGTGAAAACTTCATGCAAGTTCCCTTGATGGAAAAATAAATAGTTGTAATTGAAAAATTTACCTGTCTGGATGCGGTGGTTGGAGTTGCTGGTTCGGAGGGTTCTTTTTGATTTCCATTCTTACGTTTAATATTATTATTAGCCAAATTAGCAGCATTAGCATTGGTGCCACCCCACTTGATGACATGTGGTCCAGAATTTCTCCTCGGTACAGGTCCAATCCTCTCATTATTCTCCTCAACAGCAACACCTGCAGGTGGTGATAGGAAGAGATGAGTGCGGTACGCATGGGTCGTCGGATGCTCTTCCATCGGATAATAACCAAATTCACGGCTACGTCTTATGGGGCCACGGCCGCCAACCCCAGGAAGACTTGGACGTAAACCTAAACGTGCTGAGCCCGGACCCGTAACAACAGCACCTGTTCCACTAGTGACACCACTAGATACGTAAGAGCCACAGATGCCTGTCCGTGTTTCACCTGAACTCGGTTTTTCCGCCCCAAAGTTTTTACGGAACATAAGATTCATGATTCTATTTGTTTTTTTTTTCTTTTTTTTTTTACGAAAACAACTTGAACAATTGAAAACTAATGAAATGCTAGATGTGTGATGGATTCATATTCGTCAAATTATAGATCCATATTTATGTAATTTTTTAGGCAGTTTTTGTGTAATAATTTGATAAAAACATTCAGCACACTGGACGAACACATGATTTATGCGTGATTCGTGTCAACGCTTTCTTATTCTCATATATTACACTATGGCATTGTCTATCATCTCCTACGAGTAATTTTCTTCAACATGTCACTTTTTAACGATAACAACGAGACGGTCACAAAGACAAATAAGTAAAAAGCCCTTTCATTGCAATTTTTCCTTTTGCTCACATTGAAAAACAGAATGATGCATTTGTTTTTTTTGGTTCTTTTTGTGAAAAAAAAAAACACAAGGTCGAGCGTGCCAACTTTTAAGCAACCTTGGAATTTAGTCTAGAGTAAAATTTGCGGACGACTAAAACAGGGGGCTACATTAATAGCAATATAAATCCACTCACGATTGATCTTGTGATCGTGAATTGCCTTCGTCACGAGATTCATATCTTTGTAACCACTGTTGAGTGGACTACAATAGGAATTTGTTATAAGCACAAGAATAAAAGCCAAGGGGATGAAGGGTTTGATGAAAAAAATATCTACCTCACGATAATTCCACCGATTTTCTCATTTAACAACTTCCTATTTATTTTTAGGCTATTTATTTTTATACTTTGAAAAGGTTACTTATTGTAATACGCAGGTAAGTCGAGGCTACAACCACGTGTCAAGGACAAGGTCATGTGGGTGGAAAATTTTTATCGATGATGAGGGAAATTCGATGAAACGACAAATGCGCGTTCGATACGACTCATCAATAATTCACGCGGTTACCGAGTCAATGACAAGGCTGCGCTTAAAAAACACTCAATCTTCTTTCTGATGGTGTAATTTTTCAACATCAGCAATCATCGAGAGTCGTGAAACAGTTTCTTATCGGCGGAAAATTTTAGATCGAGGGAACACAATTTGTTAGAGTTAGTGCGCCCTACGGAAAAGCGCCAGCTCTGGGCGAGTGACACCCCCGCACTGCTGCGGTTACTCTTATGTCTGACCAGCGCGACACGCGATTCAGGTGGGATATTTGTTGGGGGTGGAATTGGCTTAATATGGCTAGGGGAAAAATCGCTGAAATCTCGAGGGACATGACGAGATTGGTGGGGGGAAAATTACACTGTGAGAAAATTATTCGACGACAATTTTACTATTTTTTACACTTTTCACTTTTCACTTGTATGTATTTTCATTGTGGAAACTTGATTCATCTGAGAGTTGTATTTTTCGCCTTCATATGGCAATGAAAATTGAACTTTGGGCAATTTCAGACTACTTTCAATTGAATGCAAATTTCATAAAAATATTAATTTTCAAACAAAATCTAACAGTGTATTGACATTTTAGCAAGTGCAGAGAGGTAAATTCAGAAAATCTATGTTCAATGTATTTGAGATTTTTATAGTGTCTTGAAATAAATATGCTATCATGTTCTCAAATTCACACGAGAGCTGGAAGTTGGCACGCTTCAAGCCCTTCAGTCTCAAGGACCAGTAATAAAAGACCCGGTGAAAATAGAAATTTAACAGAAAAACAGCAACAATTTCGACAGGAAATTCTATTGAATTTTAATAAGAAAATCAATAGAATCGCCTGCATTTACCTTTAGTTATAACAACTTGTAGCGAACGACTATAATTCCGTAATGATACCGTAAGAATACAAAAGAAACATCTCGCAATACCTACTATTGGTACTAGAATCAAAACCTTATGTGGAGATTAAATAAATTGTGTCAATGTGCACCGCTACTTTGTTGGTTTATCAAGCCCTGACATTACTGTTTTAGGCCACATAACAGTCGAATCTATCTATATTCACCGCGGCAATGTCAACAGTTGTCGTAGCACTTTATGACCTGTTTTATGATCTGTTTGTTTTCGGAATATGAAAGATAGAGGATGCCGAAATGATTCGAACGACGAAAACGACTACTTCTACGACTTGATTTCTCTACGATTCACCCACCACATCTGGTCTCCTCTCATTTTCGACTAAAGTAGAGATACGCTTCTGGCAGGAGTTAAGGAACTAAAGATAAACTTATTTAATTATAGATGTAGCTAGGTGCAAGGAATTTATAAATATTTTCAAGGTGTTTAACATAGGCAGTGAATTTAACGCTTTTGTATTTCAATGTGATTTAAATATATTTTTCGCCACTATGAATAGACCCAACTTGAGTAGTCTATTATTCATAATATTACTCTAATTGGCAGTAGAACGCTCATAAACCCGACAAGCAACCTTAACTTGTCATTGGACATGAAATTTTATTTACCCCCATGAAATTGGTGTTATTATTATTTATGTTTTTAGAGAGTATCAAGCAAAAAACTGTGTTCCAGTTGGCTCAAGTCCTATTTTTCCGCTCTACGATTTTTCACTACATTTGGAAGCCGATTATTCACTTGGCCCTAGACATTATTTTTTGTGATTACATTAACAACCCGATTATGGAAAACCTTAGAAGAAGAAACAAATTGCCCTCGTGCTCTTCCACTCAAATTCACAAATCTCTACACTACTTTCTACTCGATTGGATTATTACTCACTCGTGTCATTGAGCGGGCAGGCAGTGTAGCTGTACCTCTGATCTGTATATAAACTCTTCTGTCCACTCGTCATAATTTTCAATATCGCCACAAAACGTTAGAATTCGTCATAAATAAAGGAAAATACTTCATGTATAAACATCATCAGGCTCTGGTCTTCCCTCAGCATTACCTCCTAATAATCCGGAAATGGACAACAGCATTTGTCAACTGATGTTTGATTAGTTAAAAACTTGGCCACTGGCCGCATAAATGCAGTCACTTATAATTATATCTGAAAATAGATGGCCTTTGATGATTATTAGTGGATGAATTCCAGTGATCATCACGCGCTATTTTCTCCCCCGTTATTGCAGGAAAACTTGACAGAAATAATCAACAAATGAAGACAAAGTGATCCTAGTGATTTTGTTTATTTTATTATTAAATACAAGTGAATGAATGTAATTTTTAATTTTTTTTTTTTTTTTTTTTTTTTTTAATATGGGAAAGAAAAATTTCAAAGCAAAACCAGAATACTATCCAGTATCCCGGTTTTGGCCTCTACTGGACTGTGAGCCGCCAAAGCTGTGGGGAGGCTGTGAGAATTTCATAGAAAGAGAGATGATGCACCAGATGCTCAAGGTAAATTTATATTTCCTTCTCACTTGCACTATGCGCCGCAGCGCGTCGCGTCGCCTTGCAATTTTCAACCCCCTCCCTGGTGTACCTTTCCACCCCGCTCTCATCATGTCGCAATGTATCTGCAGAGTCAGTATTCCGGGCAGGTATCTATCTCACCTCATATGCAGGCTCTCTCTCTCTCTCTCTCTCCCTCTCTCCTTCTTCAATTCTCATCAAAAGCATCATTCTTCATGACACACTTTTGAAGAGAGAATAAACAGCAGATAGTTATGCTCAATATTAATTATTTTATATATTTACAAATCAATAAGGAATGAATAATCTTTTTACATTTCAAAGTGATCACTTGAAATCCTATTTCTTTTTCAATATTAATTTTTCTCTTGATATAGTTTTCATTTTATTGTTTTTTTTTTTTTTTAATTCATATAAAATACATCTCAATCAAAAATATATTGTTGTATGAAAATTTAATCGTCATTTTCCTATCCATAACTGACGATACATTTTTCTTCACCATTTTTCTTATTAAAATTGCCATTCTTCTTGATTCCTGCTCTTTATGCAGCCACTCATTGTCAGGAAAAGAATAATATAAACAAGAGATAGTTATGTTCAGTATTAATTATATATATTTACAAAAATGGATAAGGAATGAATTATCTTTGTACATTTCAAAATGAACAAAATAAGGCACTAGATTTCGAATTTCATATCAGTGATGTCAATTACTCACGACATTCTTTTTTATCGTTGTGTCACAAAATATTCTATTGTGAGGATAATATACACATTAAATGGCAGGTTGATTTTAGTGAAATGTCGTTCTTATTATAAGTATAGACAGTGTCAATTTAGGGTTTAAATGTATAGGTTTTTTGTTCAAGATGTATAAATGTAATTTCTGATAGACGGAAATGATCATTCGATACGTCATATATAAATCCACTCAAAAAAAGTTGAATATATCAAGATGTATGAAGGCGACCACTTATATGTATATGTATATGTACGAACTCAGAGTTATCAAAAGCGTACAAATATACAAATCGAACGGAAAATTTCATCGATGATAATAAATCCAACTTTAAGAACATGGCTCGACACGTGATTGCGTAATTACCATTCCTTGTTTCTCTTTTGTACTATCACAACTCCTCCATAAATTCAGTAAATACATATATATATATACTCAATTGTTTCCATAGATTTTAATGATTACTCGAGGCGCTATCGAAATTCCGTTTCTAACAGCTAATGTGTACCGTAGATAAAAAAAAATATTACTTGGCACATGTGGAAGTTCTTTGTCTTTCAGCGAGAACACATTATTTCGGTTGAATATTCCAACATTTGAGGTACAGAAAAAATGACTAATAGCAATATCACGCACGATTCGCCGATAAAAATCCAATTCCAATGCTAAAGAATATTCAAGGATTCACGGCCAGTAATAATGTGATATGACAGTCTGCACAATATCCTTATCCATAAATTATTCAAAATCATGGAATAATAAAACTATCTACATGTTATTGACGATAGGATTCATAATATTTATATATTTTACAGTACCTCCCGTATTCTTTTCTTATACATCACGAGGTTCACGAGGTTTGTTCATCAGTTTTTTTCCTTTTAAAATGCCATCCATGTCATAGATAGATCAAATTTAATGACATTTCATGGTCATTTGCTACTACAATAATTGCCTCTTTAACTTTAAAAATTTGTCTAATGAAAATTCTTGGAAATAGAATAGAATTTTTCATATTGAGCGATTATTAATATTCTAATGACAATTTAAATTGTCAACTTGATTGTGAAAATTAAACATCACAGTCATTTGAATTTTCAATAGATTAAAGTCAAAAAACATTAATTATCCAAATGATGGACTTAAATTTGGCACGTAACAATATGTGTGAGAGTTATTTCAAAATTCCAACGTTTTTTATGAAAAAATTGTTATTCTTCATAATATTTACCTATATCGATATATTTTACAATACCTCAATTGCTATTCTCACATCACGAGGTTGACTTTAGTTTTTTTTTTTTTAATTAATTTAATCTGAAAATGCAGGTGTCATTCTCTTTCTCTCACACATTCACTTGTGAAAACTTGATTCACTCGTTCGTTAGTTTTAATGAGGGGTGGGTCCTCCAACTTATGACCCAGTCATTCGTATTATGCATTTTCGCGATGTGACACGGCAGTCTTGCCTTGGGAATTTGTTTCCGCGGATATTTCTATGCCCTGGGAGTCCTGGGACTCAGGGATTTGGCAATGTAGCTTCGTTCTTATGTTTTTCCCAGTTGTTTATTAATTTTAAGGGGTAGCAGATTATTGCGGAGAGGAGAATTAGAGCTCCTGACACGTAGAATGCAACATCGAAACTGTCGGTTGCGACTTTTACTGCACCTGAAGCATTAATAACAATTCATTGTTATTTTTATTGAAGATTCAAGTGGGTGGCATTTGATTTAATTTTTTAATTTTATTTTTTTCGGAAATGTCAAGTTTCATGATTATTTGTTGCCCGCCTAAATGTCACTTGCTCGTCCATAAAATGTCAATTTACCTGTTAAAGGTGCACCAACACTCGCAGCAATGCCCTGGAATAGCAGAATAAGGCCAAATGCATTTGTCAATTTTTCTAGCCCCATAAGTTCAACCACCAAGATTGATCTGAGTGCAGCGAATACAGCTAAAAATGAAACAATTAATGGATTAATTATAGAGTGTCAATAAAATATGTAGAAAAAATATAAATAGCTAATTAATCACTCATCACTCACATATACTAAAGCCAAACGCTGCGGCGTAAAAGTATTGATACTCTTTCGAGTAACTGAGACCAGAGCAAATAGTAAGTATACCACTGATACTTATGAATACATTGTTAATGAGGAGTGTATCCATACCAGGAAGACTACTGACAAGCCCACAAATCACACGACCTACAGTATTTGCAATACCAATCACTGATACGAGGAACGTTGCGGAATCCTTGAGGTCCATTGATTCAGCACGACCTGCAAGTGCAAATAAATCATCGATTCATTATAATTATTCCAATAAATAACATAATCTGATTATTATTTTGTGACTACCTGGAAGGAACATGAAGGGGGTATAGAAACCCATCATAGTGAGACCCCCACTGATTGCTAGAATGAGAAAAGACGGGCTTCCTAATAAATTTATGTCCAGCATAGTTGTGAGGATTCTTCTCACACTCTCTGGGCATAGATAACAATTTCCACTCTCCTCTTCTTCGACGTCTGTTGCTGTTGGGAGTCGCGTCACCGACATGTGGTATCCCACAGATGACATCTGCGCGGAGATTAAAAAAAAAAAAATTACATTTACATGAAAATTTTTATTTTATATATATAATATCATCATCATTACTTGAGATTTGTAATGCGGTAATCTGGCCAGTGAACCCCCATAGAATATATCATCCCTGTAGAACGGCCTCTGAGGATCTTTCGAAATTGAATGTCGTTTTCCAACTTTTCGTAAAGAGCATTCACTTCCGTTCTGATCCCTGCGGCCACTTATCGTATGTCTCCGCACCTGCAATGATAATAAAAAGAGTCTTCTTGAGTAACTTTTTTTTTCTACTACAAGATGAAACCGTACTAAAGCGAGTAATCGTGGGTCTAATGATGTTATCACTTGGAATTTTTTCGTTATCGATTAGTCTCTTTGCGCAAATAGAAATAATCGCAAATTCAATCTAATGATCTAATGATACTCACAGTAGGTATCCGTCCATTGAGCCTTTCTAGGTCACCCGAGAGCAAATTGTTTTCTTCTTCAGTGGACTTTATCTCATCAGAAATTATAACGTCCATTTCGGGATAAATCGGAGCAGACAATCTTTTTTCAGTTGTTGTCAGGGGTTTTTCATTCTCACTGGCTCCGTTGTGCAACGAGTCCGCTGACCTATAATCATCCATTCCAACAATTAAAATGTTAAATATATGATTGAGTTGGAGGGTATTGTAAAAATAGGATTGGAAAATTTTTTCGCTGCTCACTTGATAAGATTGGGAATACTTCCAATCGCTTCGGCAGCTGTTGGATATTCAGCGTTATTATTCGTTCCGAATCTCCAACCAACGGCGATTAGTTGACTGCCGTGAAGGGAAGTGGTGGAAATAGCATTTTTCAAGAGGCAACTTTTTACTTCGGGGACAACTGCTTCGAGCGGAGCGACTTCGGACTGTTTAACTTTTATTCTCTTGGGGCGAAGGGGTCGAAAGAGTGAGCCAAAGACAGCGCAATTCAGTAACATTGCTGAATTAATAAATTGAATGTAATGATATTGATTAAGAGATATTTTTTCTATTGAATAAAAATTGCCATTTTTTGTTTTTTTCTTTTGGCTAAAGCTGATGAAAAAATTGCTCTTTATTAAGTAAAGTCATAAAGATAAGATTATTACCAGATTGAATTTGCATAGCTGTTCTCCAACCAAATCTGTCAATCAATATACTACTAATGGGTGCGAGTACAAAAGCCCCAATGCCAGAGCCGCAAACAGCAATGCCGGTAGCAAGAGCTCGCCATCTTTCAAAATAAAATCCAGTTGTTATCACGGCTGGTACGTAAATCAGACCACCGCCAACGCCCCCTAATGTGTAATTGCGTGTTTAGTATTTAAAAATCATTATGGTAAATAAAAACATTTATACGATATTATACTTATTAAGAGTCATTGGATGTTAGCAGTTGTCCGTTGTTATTTATCTTATCATATCATATATACCTAATATGTAACACGAGTTAGTGTTAGTGACCGGAGAGGGAGTAGACTGTTGCAAAACATCTAATGAGGATTTTGCAATAGCTCTTTCATTTTTCTTCATTATTATCAGTAGTTGTTTGTACTATTGAGGCTCACCTAACAATCCGTAAGTTATACAGAGTATTTCGACGGAGGAACAGTAGCTCGAGAGAATGAAGGCTGCACAACTTATGACACTTCCGACCATGGCCACTAATCGAAATCCATATCTATTAGCCAGGGCTGATACAAATGGTCCTGGAATTTCAACAATTTTCCATTCAATTTCATTTTTCTCTGTTATCATGTTGGCTGGTGGCAATTGAATTTTATTACTAATAAAAAAATTTCTACCAAAGCGGTCGGCCAAAGTGAAATTTTACCACAGCACGTTTGCTAACAAAATCATCTTATCGATGCCTCTAGCTGTTCCGAAGATTGCAAATAATTGATAAATATTGATAGTGACAAATCTTGGTACTCATCATCTGAATTTCATTCAGTTTCAAGTCCAAATGTGAAGTATTTGCTGATGCTGATCATCTACGAGTCTGCTCGAATGTTGAAATTTAATGAAACAGTGTAATTTCAATGTTTGACGTACCTGCCATCAGATAAAATCCCGTCTGTAAAGAGCCGACAAGGGCGACACTCGGCTCTGAGACATTTAAATCCCTACTTATGTGGGGTAAAAATACCCCAAAGCTGAAGATGATTCCATCTACAATGAGATTGCACATGAAGGAAGCGGCGACGATCACCCAGCCCCATCCACCGTCCGGAGGGACGATCATCTCGACTTCAACCTAAACAATATAATAATAAATATATTATTTTTATCGGCCAAAAAGTTATCAGTAAAACTCGTGAAAAAATTGTAAAAGATAAAATGCCATGGCATAGAAAAATTGAATGCACCTCATTGTTGTTATCATTTCGTTCAACCATCGGTATCTCCTCAATTTTACCCGGTGGATGACCATTCTGACGTATTGTTGATTCACAGCAGTCGCCCTTATTCTCAGTGAGAGGTGCCATTATGGTATCCGATCACGATCACAATTGCATCAGCGGCGGGTCTGATTCAAAATCATAGATCAATAACAACAATATTCATGCTTTCAATAGCATTTGCTCGAGTACAAGAAAAATAAAAAGAAAGGAAAAAAGGAAAAAGTCATTATAAACATGGACTACATGGAGGATCGGCCACGTGGTCAGAACTAACTCTTGCAGCAGAGATCGTCCGAGTACACTCAATTTTTATCAATTTCGCCGGGACAAAAATAAGACAGTTTCATCATCGAAATATCAATGTGTGCGTATAGCTAGTGTTATTAAAATCAACCGAATGAAAACAGTAGATGGAGATCAGACGGTTTATTTTTGACAAACTTGTTGTGTGGACAAAAAAAGTCACCGACAAAGGCAGTAGTTGAAGTCGTTTAACGAACCCCTGGGGAAAATTTCAAATTTCACTGAAAATTCAGCAGAAATTTCATTTGATTCTCATAAATAGTTCAACTAGTATTTAGTTTCCATTGAATTATCCATAAAATTTGTTATGTCGCGAAAAAATTGCGGGAAGCCTCAAGACAATTGATAGCATCACTACTATTAATTATCATCCGGAATTCTCCCAATGTCGGTGATAAATTCTGAAAACATGTTTTGCACATGTGAAATTATTATTCCAACTTGGGTTTTTCTTCCTCTCCCATGACCCAGTGGGTTATTCTCGGTAAAAGCTATTGTAAAGAAGTTGAGATTGAAGAGGGACAAAGAGTAAACATGACAAGTACCGACACACGAGGGATCCCCCAATTATAAGATTCACTAGGCCTGCTTCACGTGTATTCTTCTCTTGTCTTCTCTTTTCTTCTCTTCTCTTCTCTTCTCTTCCCTTCTCTTCGCTCCTATAAAATAAACAACCAACCTTGACACATGTGGCCTTTTGCCCCAATAATTATCCCTTTGTTGGATAGTAGTATTTTAATTATTGGAATTTTGTGGGCACGTCTAATTTAATCGAATTAATCCCAGGCGATAAGTCGTAATAAAACCAGTCGCGATATCAATGGAAAAATAACACGTTTAAACCGGTATTGAAGCATTTTTCATTTTGTTTTTCAATAAGATTTGTTTGTTCTTTTCTTTTTATTCCATTGTTGATGAATAACCAAATTATTCAACTCCGAATAATCACTGGGTGGGTTATGAAATTTTCAATGTCAAGGAGGAATGGACAAATTGTCTTGAGATTATTTCATTGACTCTTATGGTATGATTGTAATTATCATACCTTTATAACAAGTACCACTCAACCAAGACAAGCAGAAAAATGATAAACTTTCACTTTATGCGGTGAAAAACTGATGAATAAATTATGAAAATTATGGTTAATGCTTAATTGGACTCGAGTTTTCCCTTCCGCGATAGCAGTACAAAATAATAATAATAATAATAATAATAATAATAATAATAATAATAATAGTAATGATAATAATTTTAATAAAAAATGAATATCACACACGCGTAACTCTCGGATCTCTACGCTGAACTGTATCGACACTTGAAATATCAATCGAGAAGGCGCGTACATGAGCAGCTCAACAAGCGCATAAACTGAAGGCCCATGTGATGCCTTGGTGTTACCAATGTTACAACACTTTAATAATAATAAGAAGAGAAATAATCCACCTACTACTCGATATTGTCTGTGCTTGCTTGCTTGGCCCGTGCCCGTGGCACTCTTGTCACTCTCCCACCAATGAAGGACTCACGAGTTTTGGTAAGAAGCACTCGGCTTTTATTTATGCCCCCACATGGCAATGATGCTTTTGCTACATGAGGGGGGCCCGAAGGGTGTTTCGAGCAGATTGGGCTATGGAAAATGCTGGGAGATATCGCTCATATGAGTATTGATGAATATATCAGTGTAGTTAAGTCGCTGATTAGGATCGACGCGTCGACGCCATCAAATATCACTTATTTAAACTAATCATGGTTCAGCGGCATGCCCACGTGCCCATCAATCTTGCTCAATCGTTTTCCTATTTCATTTGTTTTTCTTTCTACAATAATTCATTTATTTATGAAATATCTTAATATCAACGTCACGAGTAGGTTTGTGTTATCATTTTATTGATGAGTGATAGAAATCCGATAAATACAAATAATTGTGCAATTTATTTAATGAATTTTTATATGTGTATATAGTTGATATTAAAGACAATAATTAATAAGTGGCTCATTGTAGTAAGAAAAAGAAAATAGCATTAATTGATTAATGGCATCAAGTACATTACATACGGTCAAAGTTGACTCATCGAGTACTACACTAATTGCATCCGCACGCCTGTAGAAGAACTACCTATCATCCACAGAGATAATCCGAAACAATCCGAGGAAGAAAAAGGGATGAGGAGCCACGTGCACGAGGCCAAAGTCCGGCGACAATCCGTTCTCGGGACTCTCCCAAGTTATCACTGATGATAATGCCGCGCTTTGTCAGCATTCATTCACTAGCACTCATCATCGTCACTCGACAATTTTCATTTTTTGCCGAGACGAGAAAATGAATAATTCAAGATAATTCTGACTTTCCAATGGGAATCTCGACTCGAAGGGGGCGTCCAGTGAAAACATTGCAGAGGGCAGAAATAACGACGAGTTCGTCGGCCCATAAAAAGATGGACTGCAAGATATTTATATTTAACCGGTTAATTTTAGAGGGTAGCTAGCTGCTAGCTGCTAGCTGGAAAATGGCATTCCTCATTATGATAACCATCAATGTCCCATCTTTGATAGTATTATGGTAAAATTGTTAATTTTCCGTTGTCACCGTTGTTATCGTTCCTTGAAAATTAATGGAAATAAGAAAAATTCAGGTAAACATTACATTGGTAATACACTAGTAAAAATTTTTTCTCAAATTTTGTCAAAAATCAATGAAAACTATGAATTACATTTCATATTAGTTTTTTCTCCCTGAATGGAATTCAATGTCACTCTCCTGAAAATCACTAATGGCAATTTCATTTGTTTTTTTCTAACAGTCTAATCAATAAAGCACAAATGACTCTCAAATTGGTCAAACAAAATGTCTACTTTCCACACATTTATTTAATTGCGCAGTAATTCAATTGCAATAAAGTGGTGAAAGATGACTGAAAAACATGTCTGTCGTTCTCTTTCAGCATCCGGTGAGACATAGCGGGAGCCTTGCCACGTGTACCTCTCTCAGGCCTCTCGGTGCAAACTTGCTTCCATTTAAACAAATAACAAAAAAACAAGAAAAAACAACAGTCCAACGATCCTAATGATTACCATAAAATTTATCCACTGAATGATTATTTCCAAGTGTTTTTTATGGGCCATGTGCGCACCTGACCAATCCGATGACGTGTATGTATTAATAGTCTTAAATGTAAACATAATAAAATAGTGACACTCAAATATTTCTATCTGAAAATCTAGACACTAATACCAGTTAAACGAGAAAAATTCACTTTCGGGAGATAAAGGCACCCGCCGGCGGCAGGCAGCGGCCCATCTACACACGCGTATGTATTATTTTCTCTACTCAAAAATTTACCGTAATAATGTTCTACAAGGCTTGCACTGCTTTGGTGCGTGAGAAAGAAAAAATTAAATATATATATATATATATATATATATATATGAAATAAAAACAAAATTGAAACATTAGCATAAAGCAGGTACGCGTAACTTTCGTTTCGGAGCAGATATGAGGAGATTTTGCACACATTGGTTGGTTTGAAAAATGTTCATGTGTTACGTGTGGTATGTGTGTTATACAATGTGTATAGTCGGTTCGTGTGAACTTTCTGTTGACGCGCGACGATCTCGATGTGGAGACCATCCACGTGGGGCCTGTGTTTTTTTTTCTTTTTTTTTTTCTTCTTCTTCTTTATCAATTGAATAGAACTTTGACAAGACTTTTACTCGTGCTGGGTTTTATTAATTGAAATGATTTACAGGGGAATAGATACCAGGAGATAGCGATGATGATTTTCTGAAATTCGGTGACTGTTCCCAAGTAGATTAAGCGCCGACTGAACAGACGGCTTCGTTCACCACATATATAACTTGCCTATTAACACTGGGATAATGAATACCGGTTGGTCGTATGCTTGCATGATTTTATGGTAATCTAATTCACTATCATCAGCCCACTCAACGCACTTCCGTCAATGACACCCAAATTGATGATTTACCGGTAGTTGTTTCTCGATACACTGTTGCGAGTTTCTAATCATGCACACAATTTTTTATTTTATGACAGTCTGTATTCTTCAAATATTTCACTGTATAAATCATATCCTGGGATCCAATGAATTATTTAATGATTCAAATTCAAGAGGAAATGAGAGTTGATGATAATCGCGATCCAGTACACTGATGGGTAATGGAATCAGTGTGTGAATTAAGACTGACCGAACAATCATATTTATTTAACACTATATTAACATTTTTTATCTTTGTAATATTTCACTGATGCATTAATCATTCCAAGATGTAAGAAATAATTTTTCAATTTATTCAACTTGAAGAAAAAAGGGAGTTAATATTTATCGATCCCGTGGTAAGAGAAGTTAAATTGCCACTGACTGTACAATTTTCGTATTAACGAAACCAGAAATGTGTTATTCGCCTGTCGATTGGCAGTCGTGTCTGGTAAAACCGGACTGGTGCTGGTGTATGGCGAAGGGCAGATTAACCGGGCAATTTTTTATTTCGGCAGAGGCTGCCCACCCAATGCCGACGCCTCGTGCGTCGTATTAGTAATCAAGTCGACTGACCTTTCTGATTGGAATACACCAACCGCGGACCCATCCGCATATCTCCGTTAAATTCGTTGAAAATTATTTTCTCCTGCTTTTGCTTTTTATTCTTCACTCGTACATCGTACATGTCGTGTTTTTATTCCTGCACGTGGTATCGTCAAGAGTCATTACGAGTAAAATCTTTCACTGGATACAGCGTTTGTCTGTATTAATGTAAATAAATTTTAGTATTCATTGAATCCAAGTGCATGAAATTTTAATTTCCCTCGTGAAAATATAATTTTCCATTTACTTCATCACATCTCCGAAACTCCAATGATTCATCAGTGTTATTGTTTTCATTAGTTTATGAATAGTCAATGAAATTTTGGTGAAAATCACATTTATTTCTTGTAATTATTTAGCTGAATCGGCAAGTATTTGTCTCAAACTTGCAAAAAAGACACAAGGAAATTCATGTTTTAGTGGTTGCTATCTAGGGAAATTATTGGTGCAGGATAATGATCAGAGAATAAATCTTCAATAATAAAAATTTGTAATTCTTCTTCTTCTGACAATTTCAATAAACGTCACCTAATTAATACATTTCTTCGATATTCTTCCATCTTTTTTTTTTTTTTTTTTGTACCATAATACATAGCGTACATAACGTATGCACAAAATAGAGCGTGCAATGCGCATAGGCAATCAACAGCGTTCGTCTACTAATGTAACTAATATTCATTGTAATCACCCTCATTGAATCCAAGTGCATGATTTTTTAATTCTGCACGTGAAAATATAATTTTCCGGCCCTCCCCAACTATTTCTGCTTACTTTTCACCAATTATTTCATCACATACACGAACCACTGAAAACACTCATATGCAATAGGCACACATGTGCACACGCTCCCTCTAAAACTCAATGATTCATCAGTGTTATTGTTCTCATTATAGTTTATAAATATGCAATTAAATTGAGATGAAAATTAAAATATCATTTTCAGTACTGTGCGTGAGCACATGCGCGAATGCTTATTGATTCAATTTATTATTTGTTGTGATTATATTTATTTAAATCGGCAAGTATATGTCTCCAAATTGAAAAAAAAAAAAAAAAAATCGATACTATTGAATTTTCTTGTTCCAGTTATCCTGCTGTTTACTCTCTTATTAATCAACAATTCTTTTTGATAATTAATTAATCTCTAATGAGCCAATTTTCTTTTCCAATTTTTTCACATTGACATAATAACTGTTTTCTGAAAATATGTACAAGTGTAGAGATTTACATTTTCATAATTTTTTTCCTCAATTTTTTTCATCTCATCCATCATAATTCATCATTAATTTTTCTCTCTGCACAATAGATGTCATTAAAAAACATATGTTAATCACATAATAACGATGTATACACATTTTTCACTAGAACATGATGATCATCATCATTTCTTTTGTCACATGATTTTTCTAGGTCGAATCGATAGCCACTAAATTTGGTTTTAATTCATTCAATTATTTAAGGTATTTAGCGTGAATACCACAGCGACATTGATTCTCATTAGTTAATTGAGTAGTTTGTGTTAATTAATGGGTATATTTTATTGTTAATAGTACAACAGTTGAATCCAACAAGATGGACATTTTCACTAGCTATAAGAATCGATTAATTAACACAAACTAGGTGAAAATCTATTAAGGATAATTAAAAACATACATCGATTACGAATATCTCTAAACAATTAGTTTTATCATTTATTATTATCATTTTATGTGGATTTGATAAAAAAAAAATGCTGACTATTCTCTCTGGAGAATAGTGATGCCTGCTGAGACCACTCAATTCTGTTCCCCTTACGTTTTTTATCATTGTTTAATGGGTCAAAAATTTATTACTACACTGGCGTTGTAGATAAAGTTTCGAAATGAAAATCAAAGTAATATCTCACATCCCTAACACGCTATTGTACACACTATTTTACAAGTGGTTGAGGGTCTTGAAAATATTTATGTACATTTGAAATTTGGATTCTACCAGCGCCAGCTAAACTTCTCTCGAACTTGTCAATTAATTTAACTTATTATGGCATAAATTTTTCTTTGTTATGTACATTATTTTATTTGTTGTTGTCAGTTTATGTTCTTCTTGTTATGGCTTATATATAATCGTTTTTTTTTTTTATTGACAAATTAAAATGAATACCAGTGTCTTCATCTTTACGACTCGATTGAAAAATAATTCATCTATAATGACTCCCCTTAATTGTCGTTCATAAGTACATTCCCATTTTTCATTTTTTCGTTATTTCAGTTTTTTCATTTTCGAGTATTTTGCTCATCGATGAATGAGTGAGAAAGCATTGTCCACTTTACATTCCTAAATATAACTTGGTTTATACTGTTGACTGATACTGATTGATTCAATTTTTATTTATTTATTTATTTATTTATTTTTTAAACAACATCAACAGCCATAAGTGAAAAGCAAGTTGATTTCTGAAGAATTTCATGGTAAATAAAAAACAAGAAATTCAACAGGTCTCTCTTTGTTTATCTTGTTGCTCTCTAAGCTTGTGCAATTATCAGTAAATTCATAAGAAAATTAATTTAACCTTTTTAAGTAATTGATTTTTTTAACGATTTTATCATTACTTCCCAGACTTGGAGGCGGCCACCACTTAAAGCTTGAAATGAAATAAAATCTCAAATGGTGTTTTTATAAAACAGACTCTATTTGTTTTATCTCTTTCTCTGGTGGATCTAGGGGTGATGCTGCTGTTTCTATTATCTCTGGGATGTCGTCTTCGTTCTCCTCTTCGTTATCTTCTTCGTCAATTGGTGTTAGTGTATCAATAATTATTGGTTGTGTCTAGAATAATTCAAATATTCAAATGATTTTTTTTTTCTCCACTTTTATCGTAGTGACATAATATTTATGCGTTTATTAATAAGAATAGTTAAGATAGACACTGGTGAGTTTTCCATTTAAAATGGACCGTTTAAAGAATTTGTTGAATCAAGTGACGTTTCAGGTAAAATAAAATTTATGAATTTACCTGTGGAGTTGTAAAACGTTTCATAGCAGGTGCCACAAAGCTGAAGACAGTACTGAGGAAGAAGAAGAACCCAGCCATGTAGAATGGTATATCAAAAGTGTTTGTTAAGTCGTAAATACAACCGGCGAGTGGTGCCCCAACAATTGCAGCAGCACCTCTGAATAGAATTAGTAAACCAAATGCATTGGTCAATTTATCTAATCCCAGGAGGTCCACCAGGATGATTGAAGTCAGTGAAATATATCCAGCTGTAGAATAAAAACATGAAAGACATGTTCTTCGTAACGAAACATTTAATATCAATGAGTTTGTTTTTTTTTTTTTTGACATACAAATTGCTATTCCAAAGAAAACACTCATCACAATGTAGGCAGGAAAACTGCTGCACAGAGGCGTCGCAGTAACAGCCACTGTCGAAATTAGCAGGCAAATGTTGTTCAACAGAAGAGAATCCACTTGTGGAAAATCAGCTACAAAACCACAAACTATACGTCCAACTGTGTTTGTTATTCCAATTATGGAAAGCAGAAGTGATGCTGAGCTCTTGGGGATTCCCTGAAGAAAAAATAAATAAAAAAATAATTGTTATGAAGGAATTTCACAAAATGGCAACAAATTAATAAACGTCAATTTAAAATAATGCAAGTCATTAACTAAAAATAAAATGAAACGAAATGATATTAGAGTTTACCTTGGCTACAGCTGCATCCACCAGATAGAAAAATGGTATGTAAAGTCCGGCCATGCCAAAGACATTGCTGATGCCAATGAGTAGAAAGACTGGGTTTTTCAAAAGAGAGACATCCATCATGGTCGCCAAGGCCTCAGTAAATGACTCGGGTAGTTGGAAGCATGGACACAGAGGCTGGAGAGGTGGTTTCTCCACATCTCCATCTCTCACATCGCCTCGAACAGATTTGGGTAGTGAGAGGACACTCTGACGATAGTTAGCAAGTGACTTTTGGCTCTGATACTCTGGTAGATTGAGAACACTTCCACTGTAGAAGATATCCTTTCGAGACATGGGACGAACGATGCTCGTCTTCTGCTTTGTCACTGCTGGAATACTGGACTTGCTGGTGGTGAATGTTATGCTCTCACCGTCATCACCTTCCATGTTGTTGAGACGAGAGCCAAGCATGCTGCTGTTGGACAATCTCAAATGCAGACTTTTACGAATGTCTCCATTGGAGTTTAGGGTTGTTCTCGAGTTTTTAATTGCACTCAAACTCGGTTTGTAGCGTTCTCCAGTGCTAGTCTTGCGGATTCTATCGAAAAATGGGACTGAACCATTCTTGGGGAGACCTTGAACGTGAGTGGTGAATGCTGGCTGCGAGGCGTTCCTCGGTATTATCGGTTTATTAAACTCGTTTTCTGTTTTGTCGACACTCTCTTTTGTCTCATCTTTGGTTTCATCAATGCTCTTTCTGCTCTTGTTTTTACCTGTCTTTAGGTCCATGCTACCACTCTTGCTTGTTGCTGCACTCGAGGAGTGCTCCTGGACCTTGACCTCCGATATTGTTGGCAGGGTCGGCACGGTGGGTACTGGTGTTAAAGGCGTTCCTTTAGAGTTTAATTTATCAATCTTAACTAATTCATGGTGGCTTTGACAACCCAATTATCTATCATGATGTATCCACACAATTTATAACTATTATTATTATTATGGGGAGAAGATGATGGATTAGATCAACACTTGCGACTTTTTCTTTAAAGAAATGTATAACTCAAAAACTAAAAGTACCCAGGATAAATTCAAAAAGATATTGGTGAAAATTAACATTTCCGACAAGTGTTGATATGTTTACACACTCTACCCTGGGACAAAAAAAAGGAAAAAAAAGGAAAAAAAAACTTACCAGGCACTAATTGGTCGAGATTGAAACTGGAGTGTACACCAGGATCAATATTAATTGGCATCTTCATTCGCTTCTCCATCGAGCCATCTGGAAGTTGGACCATGAAGTACGAGCCCCCAATGCTTCCACGTTCCATTTGAAATCGTTTCTCCTCAGCCATTCGTTGGAGCAGTGGTTTCACTGATGATGGCTTTGGGTACTCGAGTGGTCTCATCAGTGCCCCAAATACAGCACAGTTAAGTATAAGGCCTGCAAGTATCCAGTGTGCTTGTCTCCAATCACCATACTCTTCGATAAGTGTCGTTGCGAGAGGAGCAAAGACAAATGTTCCAAAACCCGATCCACAAACGGCAATACCAGTCGCTAATGATCGCTTGGTTTCGAAGTAATAACCGACACAGACAACGGCTGGCAGATAAATCAAACCGAAACCAATTCCTGAAATTGAGAAAAATCACGAGTCAAAACATTTTCAAAATGTGCAGTAATTTTCAATAATAAAATGTGATATTCTCCCTATATCTCTCAATATCATGGGAAGGAGGTGTATTTTTTTTTCTTTTCTTAATTTTTTTAATTTTAATGTTAATGGAGATTTTCTTCTCACCTCCTACAACACCATAAATCAGCATCAGCGAATTCACAGTCTTCACATATGTTGATAAGAAAAATGCCGCAGCAGCAATAAAACTGCCAGCTATACAAACTGCTCTGCATCCATATTTATTCGTAAGAGCACTCACAACAGGACCTGATGAGATTTTAAAGAGGAAATTATAATACTATTACAATACTACAATTCCTTATTTTACTTTATCGTTTTTCTCCCTAAAATGTCGAGTTTTTCATTGACTTTTTCTAAAGTGTAAGTGAATGCGTGAGTGTTCCACTTGTAATTTCACATCTGTTGCTTTTCTTTTCTCTGCTTTTGTGAAATAGAAGAAAATAAACATACCAGCACTGAGATACATTCCAGAGAGCAATGATCCGGCCCATGCGGTTTTTCCTTTACCCTCGCCAAAGTACCTCACAAATTCTTCCAAAAATATTCCAAACGTATATGCAATACCATCGACAATCATATTACACATGAAGGAGGCAAATACCACGACCCAACCATAACCACCATCAGGAGGTGGTGGTATGTCGTGGTACTCGCAGAGTGATCCCCCATCGTCATCAGGAGATGTCTCATCAACACCTCCATCAGTCAGTCGTGCCTGCTCCTCCACTGAGTACTCACTCTCCGTCTGTAATACAAAAAACGCAAAAACAGCAATTAATTTCCATTAGCATTCAGTTGTTTTCTCTCGAGGATAGATTCCCCTCCTCGAGTGTTTAGAATGGAACCAATCATCCTTGACATACATCCCACAGAATTACCACTGTAATCTAACTGTGAGATGTAACATCCATCCATCCATCCATCCATCCATCTCCGCATTTAATATATTAGATTAAAACTAATGGAGATATTGATTTCATCCTCCAACATCAGCTATAACTGGCTCACCTTGGGGGCTCCCGAATGAAACCAGAAATGATGATGATGATAATAATAATTTATATGTACGTATGCGATAAACATGGTTGCACCGTGTTAACTACTCTTTAGAAAAAATAATAATGTAAAATTTGGAAATGGAATTCATTGCGTGGGAAAATTAAACTCAATTTTAATTGCAATTGACTTTTCACATTTTCTATGGAAATTCAATTGAATAGTGAAAAAAAATAATCAACAATCGAATTTTGAAATTTTGAAATAATAATTGTCTCAAGGTGCACCTCACGACTCAGCGACTCTCACTTTTGTTAGCGTGTTCATCAATCAATTGACAATTCATTTAATTGAGTATCAATGAATCACCTATGCGACCCCAACGTTATCATGAATTTTTTGCATACCTAACACGTACACTACAATCAGCTGATTGAAATAATGCGCACGCCACCAAACGGCAGCCCAAGGCATTGCGGCCACAACAGTTGTTTATGATGTGTGCATTTCCGACCTCTGGGGCTTTACACTGGCTGTTGCACTCCACTGTGTGAGAGCCGTTTTATTAAATTAACGTGTAGAAAAAAAGAAAAAAAAAGGAATTAACGGGCGTGTCATGTGTATTAATACAGCTTCGTCATACTCCATTTGGACAATGGCATTGTTATACAATTAAATTTGCTCAAATTATTTGTTATTTTATTATTATCAATCGTAAATTATCACTGATTGTCAAGGCTTGTCACGTGTTCCATCGAATCCCTCTAGTCCAATTGAGTCACTAGTCACGCCTACAAACAACAATTTTGCAGCAGCTCCACTTTGTGAGCCCGAAAGAGCATTTCTTTGTTCCCCCAAGTATCTTGTGTATCTCCAAGGTATCGATAATTATTATGCGTGCTTCTCTAATATCCAGAAGAAAGTAAATAAAACATAAAAATAGTTGGAACCCACCGTACTAATTTTCCTGACGCGTCTTGAGCCATACTGGCCATGCTGTGATTTAGTCAAAGACACTCGCGACATCCTTTATGAATTATTAATTCACCAGCAGTAGTAGGTCTATTGAATGTCCAAAACTATTGAAAACAAACACAACAATCCAAATGGTTATATTCCCCAGGGTGATGAGTGGAAAGGATCAGCCTCGGGTTAGTCTCCTTGAAAAAACAATTTTTTTTGAAAATCACTCGTCATAGTCGGCTGCCATGTTTCGCTGCTACTTGACCACTGCACCACACGATTCCCATTATTTACACCTTTATTATATTGATGCCATTGTGCACTCAGAAATGAAATAAAATCAACAATAAAACGGCCGTCAGTGTGTCGTTTTAAACTCGAAACTATTATCCTTGCACTTGGTTTTTTTTCCCCTTCACGAATGCTCTTTCTCAAGCTTCACTGGATGTATAAACGATAACTGCAAGAGTCATCAATGCGTCGCTGGCTGAAACTGTCATGACACATTCGTCCTCGAGTTGGCCCCAACAGTGGAACTGTTTTATTCAAGTTGAAAAATGAAACAAGGAGAGGAGCAGGCGAATGAAGATGAAGAGTTATTTTTACACGCACAGTGGATGATGGAGAGTATTAAGTTGAGTTGTACAGCTGCGCGCCTTGTTTAATCTATTTTTCCTATTTATTTATTTAAACATTGTACAGTTGCACGTCCTCATCCGGCGGCTCGTTGTCATTGATATGTTAACTCAATTAAACTGTCTCCATGATCAATCGAAATTCATTGATTCTTGTTCATCTGAGGGAAACGAATGATAAAAGAGACAGACAGAGAGCGAGCGAGAGAGAGAGGGAGAGAGAGAGAGAGAGAGAGAATGTATTGCGTTGGTTGTGCCTCTCGATCAAAGCACCAACGCTGCTATTTAACCACTGACCACGATGCCGTAGTCGACAGCAACAGCATTTCCGACAGACTGGACTAGCCTACGAACCTGAAGCCTGAACAACGCTGAACGCTCTTTCTTTCATTTTTTTTTTCCCCCACCCCGCTGGTTCACAGACCTTCCGGCTCCCCTCTTCCACATCGCCCCGCGGGATCGCTTTTATACTAATAAAAGTGATTCACAAACTGCACCGTTCTTGGCTACGTAAAGCCCCGTTTTCTATCGACGACTTTTTTACCAACTTCTGGCGGCAAAAGAAGCCAGTTGCCCTCTTGATAGATTATTTCATAGATATCAGATGTCGATGAATTGTTTTTATTGACTGATTGATTGATTAAAATTTTATTCACTCTACACGGTATGTAAGCCACACAAGAGAGGGGCTATCATATGAATGAATGAAGGGGCATGCATTTGACATTTTTTTTTGTGGTGGAAGAGGGTGGTTTTATGGAACTAATGATGTTGATGATTTTTTCTCATTTTATTCTCCTTCTTCTTCTTCTTCTTCTTCTTATGTTGATTTGCAAACTACACTTGTGTCAGTCAATTTTAAATGAGAATAAATTAAATGAAGACCCGCGTACTGGGTCTTGATTGAATAAAAGTGATGCGTTGTTCTTTTCACTGGTTTTTATCAATTTTCATTGACTTTTCCACAAAATTTTTGATTTTTAATAAGTCTCGTTTAAATTTCTTGAAACATCAGTGAAACGTCTAATTATTGATTTTGTTAGTTGTAACAGGTGCAATAGTTGACAACTATGTCTCAATTTTGCAACATTTTACGGGTGAAAGAAAATGAGTGTTTTATCTACATCAAGCGTTTGCGCGTCAATTTGAAATTCAATTTGTTTATTCCATTTTCCACTGGATTAAGCAGCAATGATCGAGTTCAATTGTGAGAGAACGTGTCTCATTTATTTAGTCAGTTTAGACCAACTATTCATCTACACATTTCCAAACAAATTGTTTATCATCCCATTATTCACGTAAATTAATCAACGTGTCGAATGAGTTTAATAGTGTGTAAACGTCCAATTGTTTATTTAGTCAGTTCTAAGAGGCAATAACTGAACACGGGGTCTTAATTGGGTAATGACTCGACAAGTTGTGAAGAATAATGGACTGCAACAAGTTGAAAAATTTATATTGGTACGGGGCGGGGGGGGGGGGGGGCCCTTTTT